GTGTAGTAGATCAAGCCATAACACCAGATATGACTTATACAATACAGCGCAACTCAACTACAAGTACAGGTATACCAGGTGTATATTACTGTAACACTTCAGATGTGTCAATACAAACAGTACAAGTAGCATCACAAGGTGAGTAGATCAAACCATAACAGCAGATATGGCTATACAATACAGCGCAACTCAACTACAAGTACAGGTATACCAGGTGTATATAACTGTAATACTTCAGATGTGTCAATACAAACAGTACATGTAGCATCACAAGGTGAGTAGATCAAACCATAACAGCTGATACAATACAGCTCAACTTACATACAAGTATAGGTAAACCAGGTGTATATTACTGTAATACTTCAGATGTGTTAATACAAACAGTACAAGTAGCATAGCTAGGTGGGTAGATCAAACCATGAAAACAGGTATGGCTATACAATACAGCTCAACTTAGCTACAGGTAAAGGTGGACTAGGTGTATATTACAGTAATACAATGTACTTCAGATGTGTCAATACAAACAGTACAAGTAGCATCACAGGGTGAGTAGATCAAACCATAACAGCAGATATGGCTATACAATAGCTCTGTGTCAGAGGTCGGTCTTGGGTTTTTTTGTTTGCGTAAATTATGACATACTTCAAAAAATTGCTTAATATTTTGATTCACATGTCATTCGTAAATATGTACTATTATAACTCATGATGATTGAAAACTCTTATATTATTAATGTATCCAGTTCATTCCATATGATGCTTGAATTGTAATTTAAAATAAATTATTGTATTTTTTAGTTCATGCTCAAACTTTCTGTGTATAACATGGCATGGAAATTATTTTATTCCATAAAATTATAGAATTATGCATTGCAATAATACATATGCTGCGTCACATTTAGAAATTACTCGCCATACACTTCTGCTGGGGATTTCAGTCACATATCACAACACATCGTAGCAGTGCCATTTTCAGCAAAAAGTGAACTTTAATTGTTTTTACTCACAATATAAATGATGTAAATATAAATAAGCTTGTGGCAGGAAAAATAATGTTTCAAAATAATACAATTAGATCATAACATTTCCACAGCCAGTGCCAACATCCTCAGCTGTTGTCTTTGGTGAACATTTTGTTGAAAGGTTGAAAGTTTGTCGCCACCATGTGGATGCCATGAGACATGATGCATAGGTTCATGTCTTTGATTGGATTGACCTGGTGTCAAAAATTAATGTGTACAATCGAAATTCATCCGTTGTGTAAAAAAAAAAAAATTCAATTTGTATGCTTAATTCATGCATTCATAAGGTGAATTAATAGTTTTTTATGGTATTACGGTGTCAAATGTCAAATTTATCAATAAAAGTTAGTTATAAAAATATTGTTAATGGGGAAAGAACAACAGGAATATCAGGTTTGTATACATTTTTAGTCCTCGTTCGAACGAAGTCCGAAAACTGGGACTATTAATTTGGGTTTGTTCCCGTCGGTCCGTACGTCCGGAGCTATATCTTGGACACCCATTGACGGATGACTGGCGGCCATTTTGGATGTAAAATTTGTTATTTCTGATACCTAAATGTGTTTGCAGCAGTTTCTCGGAGATGACTGGGCCGATTTTGGATCAAAGTTGGTATGATGATCATCCATATTCGGTTGTCGGTGCAAGTAATTTTTTTTTCTAAATCCGAACAAATACGACCGCCTGGCGGCCATTTTGGTTTTTCATGGTACCCATGCTACTTTCTCTTGAATGCAATGAAAGTTTCTCTTAAATATTGTACAAAGATAGTATACCAAGGGATACATTTGTACCAACATTATTTTTGTGATTCAATTCAATATGGCTGACCGACGCCCAAATTTCCTGTAAAAGTGTTAAATCTTCATTTTTTACATGTTCAGAACTGTTTCTTAGAGATGACTAGGCTGATTTGGATCAAAGTTGGTATGATGATCATACATATTGGGTTATAGGTGCAAGTTATATTTTTTTGTGATTGGAACAAATATGGCCGGCTGGTGGCCATTTTGTTTTTCATGGTACCCATGCCTACTTTCCCATGAATGTATTGTACAAAAACAGTATACCAATAGATACATCAACATGAACATTATTTTTGTAATTTGATTCAATATGACTGCCCAATATCCAATTCTCATGTAAAAGCACTAAATCATAATTTTTTACAAATCCATCTCATTAATGGTTTCAATCTAGTCTCAATGACTTCATTAGCATCAAAATGATATGTCAGATTACAAAATTTTGGACGGGGAGTCGGGGACTGTGTCATTAACAATGACATGTTATTATATGTATTCGTTATTTCTAGTATGAAAATTTATTTAGCCACACATCGTCATTCATCAAAATGTATCATATTAGCAAAGTTTAAACATACAAATTTTACTAGTTAAAACATCAATTTCTGAGTTCAAACACTTGTTTCCACATAATTGTTGCACAGTCAGTTTTTCCTAGTTGTGTGTACAGCCCAATGAAATTAAATGGGATATGCAAACACCAACACTGTTGTATTGCCCAGTTAAAACACATGCGTCATTCAGTCCGGTACCAACTACTTATTACAATATTTAACTCACAGTAGCCTGCATCATTGCTGTGTACGCATTGTAGCCTACATCTTTGCTGTGTACTCACAATTGCCTACAACATTGCTGTGTATAATAAGTACAGAAGGAGAGGGGGTTGTGAAATTTTCAATGATTTGTGAGGTTTTACAGTAAATTCCATCTTCTTTTTATTTTTTGCAGCTGAAATAAAGCCAGAGAGTCAAACCAAGACAGTGAGTTGGGGAGATGATGTAACATTGACAATGACCACATCAAAAACTGGATTGAACTGGAAACATAATGGTTTGGATATAGAAGCATGGAATGGACAAAGTAGTATTACTATTACATCAGCTAAACCATCAGATGCTGGAATTTATGAATGTTATACTACTGAACAGCAACGAGAAAATGGAAAGAATGGTTTTATGAGACTTATTGTTAGACGTAAGTTTATTTTGTTTTACATTACATTAAGTCAGTCATTTTTACCAAATTGATCAAAATCTGATATGGGGATTGTTGTGTTGACGTCTCTCTGGCAGTTAAGGTAGAATCCTACTCACAAATGCAAATACTTGATAAATTGTACTCCCAGGCAATATAATGATATTGACTTTAAAAAAGTTGGGAGTCACCGGCCTAAGTTTTGAAAAAATGATGGTTATATTTAGCCAGTATAATAAAGCATTTACCATATAGGTTTTTATGGCATATATATTATGCCACATCGTAAATATTGGGCTGGTTAAAAAATTATTAATTGTTAATGATATGGTACATTTTGTTGACCTGAATTATTTCAAAATTATTTTAAAAAGTGTCAAAAATGCAATATTTTTTTTAACTTTGTGTTCTATGAAAAATATTAGGACAAATTTTTCGAAATATGTCACTGTAACACACAGAAAAATGGTATTTTATTCTGCCATTGAACAATAGCTTAATGATTTTACATTGTCATGTGATTTATGACCAATTTTGACCAAAATTATGAGTAGGCTTCTACCTTGAGCACACACAACAATGTAGAGTGCTGTTTTAAGTGAACTTGAATATGAAAAAAACATTACAGATATCATTGACATTGAATGTTTGCATGCAACCGAAAACATTCATTTACTATTTCAACAAGTTGAATTTTATCTGCAAAAACCAATAAATTGATATTTTGTATGTTATTATAATCATGACTGTATACTGATCAACATTTGGGCGCTAGGTTTTGAAGCCAGCAGTCCCCCATAATATGACCCCTTCTCCAAACAGTTGTCTAGGACATTAATTTGTAAAATACAGCATTATATGCACACACAAGTACATGTATATTGTCATTTGAGCAAATACAGCTGAATTTGGCAGCCACCTTTGTGAAACATAATGGGCATGGCTAAAACGCTTTTGTCACCTACATTTTTATGTGTTAGAATTTTAAAATTAAAAATAATGAACCATATTTTTAGCTCTGCTTTCCACAGCACGAAGCTTTACTCATGGTATGACTGTCTATGGTCATCAACTTTTCATAAATGACATTTCCACTTGAAAATTATTTGATCTATTAGTAACGTATGTGCTTTAATATGTGCATTGACTCGTGATTCAGTATACAACACATACTAGTTTTGGTTTATCTGTGCTTTTATTGGAAATTTAGCAAATTTGGTGTGTTTGTGGCTTAGAGTGATCTCGTTTTGATCAAAACAAGAGCTTGTGCTTTGACTGTGTGTGTGTGTGTGTGTGTGTGTGTGTGTGTGTGTGTGTGTGTGTGTGTGTGTGTGTGTGTGTGTGTGCTTTTGTGTGTGCATTTCCATCTGTATCTTGGACAGGCCTGGTCTGATCACATTCAAACAAATACATCCTCTATCTTGGGCAACATATATATGTCCATTTGGTTCATGATTGATTCAAGATTGTTGAAAGGTTGCCATTTTTGTGCTGAAAATTCATCAAAATCAGGCATTTTTTTGCCATTCCAGAACCTTTCAAGTATTTTGTTCAAACTTGGTACCAAATCAGACATTATAGGACCTTGATGCGCACCATTTTGTTTCTCAGACAAGATTCAAAATGACCGACTGGCTGCCATTATGTTTTATCAAATGCTGTTCCAAGGCCATACCTCTGACATGTCTTTACTTATCATGTTCAAAGTTTACATATAAATTATACATGGCACACATATGCACATTTATTTATTTGACAATTTGATTCATGATATCTGAATGGTGGACATTTTAATCAAAGAAAGCTTAAAAAGAACTCCCATGTGCAGAGAGTTTTACCGTAAAGGCATATTAATAATTCCAGATTTAAGATTAGCCTTTCAGACAAGAAGCTTGGCAACTGCTATCTGTCTGCTATTTAAAGTGCACAACTTGATAACAATGTGATATCCATAAATCTGATTTTACATCTGTGGTTTTATTCCAATATGGTTAAAATAAAATCAAGTTTGGGCTTTTTTTAAAATTTGTGTTTAATTATTTATTTTTATTATACATTTTCTTTTACTTTAAATTATTTTATTTTAATAGTAAATCTTTCAAATTGATGTTCAATTAGCATTGGCTCATATTTTTTGACCTCTTAGCCCATGCTACTGTTTATGACGATTGATGATTGGAGCTCTGCGCTAATGTAACTATTGTAGTGTTTACTTTACTTTAAGGCCACTTTAATCTTACTGGAATCAGTTACTATAGATTCATGTTATGGGATCATGGCATGTGCCAAAATTTTTTCGTGTTTGCAGAGGAATTACACACTTGCGATCACATTATTCAGGATTCACTAAACCAGT